GTGAAATGCCCTGTGCCCGCGGTCACTCGTGACGCCCAGCGCGCGTTCGACCTCCTTAATAAGCTGACCCAGACGGAGGGGCAGCCCAAGGGCGCCCAGACCATCCCGCGCGCGGAGCTGCAGCGCTGCACAGGCTTGTGCTTTGCCAGCGTGAAGAAGGCGGGCCTGCTGGCGACACTTGAGGGCGGCGAGGGCTTCGTTATCGCCAAAATCAACGTGAGGCCAGCCAGCCAGCACTGCCAATGGCGCTCGCTCACACTCCTGCCGCCACCCCTCCACCGTCCCACCCCTTCGCTGTCCTACCTCTGCAGAGCCCCGACGCCACCACCTGGTCGGCGCCCCTGTTCATCAAGCTGTTTGCGGGCGGCCTGGGCCTCACAATGGGCTACTCGCAGATCGACAGCCTGATTGTGCTGGACACGCAAGAAGCCGTGCAGCGCTACTCCCGCCCCCACAAGTTTGATCTGAACATGGAGGCGGCCGCCGTGGGGCCCTTCAACAACCTGGCGGCGCACGACGATGCGTCAGTGGGCGCCCTAGGCGACGAGTCATTCATCTACTCGGTGGCAAAGGTACGCCGCACGGGCCAGCCGGGGCAGCCGGGGACCCCAGTGCTGCTGGGGCAAGAGCTGCTCGCCTGTGCGGGCAGGGCACCAGACCCAGCCGACCGCGACCCTGTTGCGCTGCTATCTCGTGCAGGGCACCCTTGTAGACATCAGCTACAAGGGGTTGAGGTATACCCTGGATGAATCCAAGAACCGGGCACTGTATGGGGACGCCTCCCCCGCGGTGAGCCAGCCCGCCGTGAGAGGGTGGGGCAAGGAGCCGGGCGCAGCCCGTTTCTGTGTGTCGCCATGTGTGCTGATCTGCGACCACCGCTGTGCGCATGCCTGGGTGCAGGACATCCTGGCGGGCACTGTGCAGCCCCCAGCGGCGATGCAGGAGCTGCAGGGAGCGCTGACGTCGGTAAGCGTGCCCGGCGCTGCCCTCCTTGCAGCCGCGCAGCCGAGCCGCCTTCTTGTGTGCGGCAACGTCGCCCCCTCTCTGACACGCCTGCATCATCTGCCGCCTCCGCTTCCATGCAGTTCATGAAGACGGGCCGCCTGCAACACATCCCTGACGAGCACTGATCACAGTCATGGTGCCGGCAGCTTGTCCGCGGCTGCCGAGCGCCATAGTTTTTCATTTCATTTACTACCATGTTATCAAAGCCTCCATACCATTAAATTGCTGTAAATTACCTTGCAAATTGACGGCACAGCAGGCACGGCTCCAGTCGGCGCCTGCGCCCGCTGACATGGCGCGGCAGTGGCATGGGCTGTGCTTCTCTCACCCCTGCCTATTTCGATTTACTCGTGCTTGCTGTGGATTGGTTCCTGCGGCCTACATAAGCATTGCTACAAGGAGGCGAATTTCGAATTTCAAAAGGGAGAGGGAAAGCAGCGGCTGCTGCCATGGCCTCGTTCAAGGCCGCTCAGCTCAAGGTGTCGAGCTTCTACGGCTCCGCTGTGCCCCGGCCGTACGTGCTGCTAGACAAGGATGGCAAGCTTGTGGAGGACCGTGTGGACGCCCCGCAAGTCAACGAAGCCCTGATCGGTGGGTGCCGATGGATGGGCGAGCCAGGCTAGGAGATTGGCCTGTGCCGGTTGCGGGCGGCGGAGGCGGGCGGCACGGCGGGAATGGGCCGCCGCCCACAGTGCTGCCACTGCCGCATCCCCGCCCCTGCAGCTTGGGCCACCAAGGTGCCCATCCAGCGGGGAGGCGCGCTCACAAAGCCCACCTGGGACGGCCCCGAGATGCCCAGGGAGGCGCGCACCGACTTCCAGGCAAGACAGGGCAGCCACCCGCCTGCCCGCCGGGCTGAGAGCATGCGCACCTTTACCTGCCCGCACATGGTGGTGTCCCCTGCCTGCCCCCTGCTTCTTTTCTCCTGACTTGACAGCCCATGCCCCCTAGCTGAGCCCTACCACCACACACACACACACACACGCACGCCTGCCTGTCCACGCCCCACCCGCAGATCTTCTTCCTGGAGAGGTTTGACGACATCCACGCCGCCAACCCCGCCATCCTGGCCTCCGACCGCCGCTCCATGCTGTCTGCGGCCTCGGTGTACTGGCGGGAGCAGCTGGAGCCGGAGGAGCGGCTGCGGTACCGCGAGCGCGCAGCCGCCGAGAAGGCGGCGGTGGGCGTGCAGATTGCGGAGGCGGAGCAGGCCAACCCCAAGTTCAAGGCATTCCGAGACAAGCTGCAGGTGGGCGGGGCTGGGAAGGAAGGGGGCTGACCGACACGTGGGGTGGCCGGCGGGGCAGGCGCATCGCCCATGCCCGCTGCGCAGCCGCAGCGATGGGCCAGCGGCGCCAGCGCCGTTTGTCGTGCCACCGGCAAGCCAGCGCTCGGCGTGGCCACGCGCACACACACTGCCACCCCTGCTGCAACTGCTGCATGCTCGCCGCTCCTGCCCCGTCCACTGCCTGGCCGCGCCCTGCCCGCCCGCCGCAGAGGTACAAGCAGAGCATGAGCGGCATCCTGGGCGCCGCCAAGGCATCAACAGGTCCGCTGTGGCGGGCGCAGCGCCGCATGAACAAGTATCGGGCGCTGGAGGAGCATGAGGCGGCCAGGGAGGAGGTCGAGGAGAGCGGGAACGAGGGGGAGGAGGCGACGCTGGCTGGCGGCAGCAAGAAGGGACGCAAGGGCGCGGCAGCGGCGGGTGGCGCCCACAAGCGCGGCGGCAAGGCGGCTGGGCGGGGCGAGAAGGCCGCGGCACGCCAGCGGCTGGTGGGCAGCGACGACAGCAGCAGCGAGGAGGAGGGGGAGGAGGAGGATGCGCGGGCGGCAGCAGATGCGGTGGCAGCCATGCAGAAGCTGCTGCTGGCGACCGCAAAGAAGGTGGGGCAGAGGGTGCGGCGTCCAGGACGGCCGGCTTGCTTGCACGGCCAGCTCCTGCCCTCACGCTGCTGCCAGGCGCTGGTGTGGGACCATGCTGGCAGTGCCCTTCTGTCCCGCAGGGCGGCAAGCCGGCAAAGGCTGCTCCCGGCAGCGGCAGGGCGACCGCAGCCACGCGCAAGGCTGCGGCGGCCAGGGAGGAGGAGCAGGCCGTGAGCAGCGACAGCGAGGAGGAGGAGGAGGGGAGCCCTCAGCAGCAGCGGGCGGGACGCGGCAGGGGCACCCGCAGCGGCGCCGCAGCCCTGGCCAGCCGCGCCGTCAGCCGAGGTGCGTCAGGCCTGCGCTGGCTGGGTCAGCTGCCGCTGCCCAGTGTGTCAGCTGGGCCACCCCGCACTGCCAGCTCCAGCTGGCTGGTTGGCCTGCTGGCTCACACCTTCCCTCTCACCCCCACCCTGACCTTGACGCCCTGCAGGCCGCAAGGGTATGTACGAAGATGCCTTTGAACTGCCGCCCAGCCAGAACGCCACCCCGGCCAAGCCCCTCGCCGCCGCGGCACCTGCCAGGGGCGGCAAGGCGGCAGCGGCAGACCTGCCCTCCAAGTCGCCAGGCAAGCGCATGCGCACCACGCGGCACTCTGCCGTGGCGGCCGCCCCGGTAGCGGAGGAGTCGCCGGCCAAGAAGCTGCGCCGCAGCGCGCGCAAGTGAGGCCCTCCAAGCGCGCTTCCGGGCTGGAGGCGTGGGCTGAGGCGGCCGGCCAGCGAGCCGTGCCGTTGCGAACGCCTGCCTCAAGCCCTTGCGTCCTCCTGCCCCACGGTTGTATTGATGGGCTGGCGGCCAAGTGGGTGCACCACACCATGCCTTCTGTAAACCTGGATGACTGGTGGCCGCCGCTCGGCGAGATGGCGCCGGCGCATGCGTGCGGAAAGTGCAGACGGAGCCAATTGAGCGCTCCCCCTGCATGCCCCTGCTGGCATCCTCCTCATCAGTCTGGCAGCAAGCCATCATAACAGCAGCACAAATGGCGCATGAGTCGACTGCAGTTGTGTATTGAATACAAATAGAGCAGCAGGTGCTGGGTGCTCAGCAGTATCCAAGTATCTCCGAGTGGTCGCCCTCGATTGGGGCACTCAGTGCTGCGGCTGCCGTCCAGGCGGTGCGAGGCCCAGCAGTGCCGGTCGCTGGGCGGTCCTGCCCCTCACACCTCCCCCCGCAGCCGCCTGGCCAGCTGGACGTCCTTGGGCATGATGGTGACAAGGTTGGCGTGGATGGCGCACAGGTTGCTGTCCTCAAACAGCCCCACCATAAACGCCTCGGCCGCCTCCCTCAGCGCCTCAATGCGGCGCGCGGGAAGCGCAGCGGGCACCCCGCCGCCCAGCCCGCTCGCCTGCACGCTCCAGCGGTCGGCGGTGGTGCTCACGGTGGACAGCACCTCGCGCGCCAGGCGCCAGAAGGGCGCGCGCGGGATCAGCTTCATGGTGCCTGCCGACTGGCTGCGGGAGCCGCTGCCCTGGTACTTGCGGATCTCCTGCGGGGCAAGGAGGTGTGGGCGGGGAACTGTTGGGAGGGGAGACTGGCGCCAGGGCGAACGCTCGCCGCTCCGCAGCTGCAAGCTCTCCTGTCCTGTCAAAGAAGCAGAGCTGCGCTTGAGGGGGAGGAAAGGGAAAGGAGCAAGAGAGGTAGCGGCCGCGGCGGCTAGCTCACCATCAGCGCCGCCTGGCCCGGCCGCCTGCGCCGCTTGGCTGCGTCCGCATCCTGGTTCAAAGCGCTGTTCTTGGGCACAGTCTTGCCTGCGACCTTCTTCGCCACCTTGAAAGCGGGCCAGCTCGTGCCAGAGCGCTACAGGAGAGTGAGAGGACGCAGCTGTTTCCTATCGGCCTTGTGGATCCCAGAGCTGCACAGAGCTCCCAGAGCTGCACAACGGACCTGAGGCGCGGACTGCTTGCGAGTGTTAGCCATCCAGCGCTTTGCTGCGACTATAAAGACTCAATACGGGCCATTTCATCTCTCGACTGCCTGCCTGCTCTTCCACACAACCTGTTTTCGACACCTGGGCAATAGCGCTGTGCACGCTGCCTTTGAACGCCGCCACCAGCCGCAAAAGCCACTGCTACCCATGTAAGCCATGATGAAATCAATCACCCATCCACCTCCACAGGCAAGCAGGGGTGTGCATGCGAGAGTCTTAAGGGTCAGCTGGGAGCGTCCCAACGGACAGCACCCACCACTGCCGCATGTTCCTGCTCGATGCAGCTCCCGTTTGTCGCAGGGCGGTGCAAGGTCAAAGTGGACGTGTAGCAGGTGCGTATCAATACAAATCAAGAATCAAGACGAGTACACAGACTACAGCAGAGGCAAATACAGCAGCAGAGCATCATTCATCTTCCTCCATCTCGTCCCTGCCACTCCCAGGCGGCTGCCGCCGCCGCTGCTGCTGCCGCTGGCCGCCGGCCTCCCCGCCGCCGGCAACATCGCCATGCTGCTGCTGCCAGTTGGCCACCGCTGCATCCATGGTGTCTGCCATGTGGTGCAGGATGTCCTGTGTCATGTGCAGCGCCTCGGCCACGGCCTGCTCCGCGGTGACGGCGCCCGATGTCTGGCACCGCACCACAATCTCATTCAGGCTGGGGTGCTCCTGCGTGTACGATGCCAGCTGCACGTGTGGGTGCGCCCACATCACGTCCCGCAGCGCATTGCCCAGCGTGTGTGCTGCAGGGTGGCAGGCAGCAGGGCAGAGGGTAGGTCCTCAGCAGCGGAGGCGGCGCTGTGGCGGTGAGGAGTGGACAGCGCTGGCGGAGTGGGCTTCCGCTGGGCCCATCCACGACGGTGTGTTGCTTCACTCACTCTCGTCGCCCAGCGCCAGCACGATGGAGCTGTCCTCCTTCGACTCGTCAGGCTCTGCATGCCAGGGGGGTGGCTGCGCGACCTGATGAGGACTCGGCTCTCACGGGATGCAGAACAATACACAAAGCAGACCCCACCTGCTCGCACAAGGGCCTGCTCGCCCGACATGGTTGCCGCTAAAGAAGCACCAAACGTGGCCTGCCAAGGACGACAGGGATACTGTGAGTGCGCTTGTCAAGAGACGGGGCACGCCAGCACGCCAGTACAGTCCAGCGCTCCCGCTTGGCGTTGCCTGGCGCCACCTTGCAGCGCACATGCAGACTCAACCCTGCTTTGCTTGGCACCTCAATCCTGATGTTACATTGCAAGCACAACTGCTGCACAGACAGCTGGAGGTACACAGAGGGAGCAGCGGTGCACCTCCGGCAGCTCGCTACAGCTTGTCGATGGCCGCCTGCTGCTGCTCCTGCCGCTCTGCAGCAGCAGGCAGGCACAACACCCAAACCGAACCTCGGCACTGTGAGTCTGCCGGCAAGCCAGCATACAGCCGCACTCATCAACGTCCAGGGCGGCATTCACTGCCGAGCGGAGATGGGCAGGCGGCGGCGGGCGATGGCGTGCGGCGGCGTGCGGCGGCGCCTCACTCTGCTCCGCGTCTGCTGCCGCCTCCATGGCCTCCCCCATGACCCCAAAGATGTCCTGCGTGAGGTGCAGCACCTCTGCCAGCGCCTGCTCGCCGCCCACCCCCGAGGATGCGGTGGTCTGCAGACATGGCAGGGGGGCCGAGGAAGTTGTCGGATGGATGGATGGCTGGGGCACGCAGCACACGTGGCTGGCTGTGCCGGAACACACCCGGCATCCCCCACATGCATGCCCCCACACCGCCAGCGCCCCACCTGCATGCGCATGTTGATGTGGCGGTACACGGGGTGCTCTGTGGTGTAGGCAGCCAGCTCGGTGTGTGGGCTGCGGCAGCGGGCAGGTGGGCAGGGCAGGAGGAGGCGGGTGGGGGCGGGAGGCTGAGGCCGAGGCCGGGCAGCACCACAGCCGCCGTCGCCCTGGCGCCTCACATGCGGCGGCAGCACCCGCACCAGGCTCCCGGCAGCGGCAGGCGGGCGGCGGCGGGTGTGCGGCGGCGCGCTCACTGCAGCCAGGCCACGTCTGTGACGGCCGCCCCTAGCGTGTGGCTCTCGCCGTCCACAATCACGGCGGCTGTGCGCGGCCCAACCACAATGGGCTTGCGCCGCGCCGACGTCACCAGCCGCTTCTCGTACGGGTTGGCGCTGACCCCCTGCGCCACGCCAGACTTCCAGTACCGGCCGTCTGCAGGTGGCGCGGGTGGGCGGGGGAAAAGGTGGGCGTGCCTAAACTGGTGCGCGGCAGCAGATGAGACGGCAGAGGCGGGGAGGGGCGCGGCATGTGAGCGAGCGGCAGGCGGGCGTGGCGGCAGGGGCGGGCCACGCACCCGGCGGGTCGGACGCGTCTGGCAGCTCGTCGTTGAGCACTCGGTCAAAGCTGGGCTGGTACCGCTCGTACTGCAGGCAGGTACCCGCACCAACGATAGGTGCCGCGGTTCGCTGCTTGCTGGCTCAGCACCTGCCAACACCCTGCTCAAGTCCTGCCCGAGCTAGTTCTTGCACAGCGGGGCCCCTCCTCCCGTCTCCACCGCATGCCCCTGCCCCCACCGGCCCCCACCGGCCCCCACCGGCCCCCACCAGCCCCCACAACTGCCCATCCCCCGCCCCCCCGGGGCGCACCATGCTGCGCGCGTCCGTCTTCTGGCTGGGCTTGTACTCCTGCCGGTAGCCGTAGATGGTCTGGCTCTGCGGCCCCTGCCGCGACCCGCTCAGATTCATGCGCTCCGCCCACAGCGGCGTCCGGCCCTCCGCTCGCCGCTCATCCACAGTCTGCTGGAGGCAGTGGGTGGAGGGTTGGCGGCCAGGGCTGTGTCCAGCAGCAGCTGGTCAGCTGAGCGGACGGAGAAAGGGAAAAGGGGAAAAAAGGGGGAGGGGGAAAAGAGCGCGGCGGCGCACTGCAGGGGGCAGCAGGCCCAGCTGGCGCCCGGCATGCCTGCTGTCGCTGCTGCGACGTGCGCTGAGTCATGCGCACCTGCTGCTGCGGGTCCCTGCCCTGCGGGCAGTCCAGCTCGGGCATGTGCCACTGCCGCCGCATCCACAGCGGCTGCTCGCCGCCCGCGCGCCCCACAGACTGGAACCACCTGCGGCGGCGGGAGGGGCGAGGGTGGCACAGCCGATGAGCAGCGTGGCACTCCATCCATCTTCCTTTCCTACCCTCAGCTGCGTCGGCAGGCCCTGCAGGCCCTCCTGCTACTCGCGCACACCCCCCGCCACCCCCGCCAGAGGGGCGCACCAGCTGTCCTGGTCGTAGTTCCAGGCGGGCGACTTCTTCTCAAACCACTGCTCGCTCTGCAGCACGCCGCCAAACTTCTCCATCCACTCCTGCCGGCTCATGGACCGCAGCTCATCCTGCGCGCCACGGCAGCAGGCAGGCCGGGAGGTTGTCGGAAACGCGGCAGTGCTGCCGCCACGCCGCCTCCGCCGGCCGGCGGCCCTGCAAGCAGGGCACTGGGTGGGAGCCCACCACCCACACCAGGCATCTCGACACACCTCTGAGGCTTTGGGGAGCTTGAACTCGGAGCATGCGTCCGCCACCTTGCGCGCCGCAGCTTCTATATCGGCTCCCTTGCTCATTGGGGCTGTCTGGCTTCTACTGGATGCACTCTACGTGCTGCTGCCTGTTGTCTGTCTCGGTCAGGATGACATGCAGCGCTGCACAGGCTGGCACCGGTGCCTGAAGCAAGCAATTGTATACACTAGTGCCGTGTATGCAATACAGCAATGAAGAGGGGAATGGGGCTGGGCGCCCACACCACAGCAGTACATCGCGACACAATACTCTCTCCTCGTCGCACAATTGGCCCAGGCACGATTGATCGCCGAAGTAACGGCTCCTTGCGGTTCTTTCTGGCGCACCGCGCAGCTGGTAGCAGTCTCACACACGATGGTGGTAGCGCGGGGCAGATGCAGCACCGCGGCCCCTCTCCTCGCCCTGCTGCTGATCCAAATTGCTGGTGAGTGCTGCCATGTGGTCAAGAAGGGGTACGCGGCATGGCAGTTCGTGGCAGCGGCAGCGACCAGGCGCCCGCGCGCTGCCGCCACCGCTGCCACCCGCTCCCCACCGCTGCCACCCACTCCGTAACAGCTCCTGAATTGCGCCAGACCCCCTTGGCCTTGCCTCCTACCTGCGCAGGGGGCACCATCGCGCTGCCGGCGGGCCGCCAGGCGGCGGTGCCCGCTCGCCGCACCCTGCATCAGTTGAGCGCCAGCCGCGGCGGGCTGCCGTCGTGGGTCAAGATGCACCAGCCGCAGCGGCCGTACAGCCAGAAGGAGTACGAGAGGAACGTGGCCGAGGTGGCGGCCATGAAGCGGGCCAGGCGGCGGTATGACCTGGTGCTCTGGGGAGACAGCATGGCCTCGTGAGTGGGAGGGCGGGCGGGCGGGAGGGCGGCGGGTGGGGCCACCGGGCTGCTCATGCGTCAGCCCGCCGCCATCGGTCTGCGCGCATGGCCGACCCCCCTGCGTGCCGCTGCCGGCTGCAGCGCCATGAAGTCGGACCGCAAGAAGGTGTGGGACAGGGTGTTCCGGGGGTACGAGGCGGAGCCGCTGAGCATGGTGGGCAGCAACATGCAGGTGAGTGAGGGCAGGGAGGCGAGCGGCGCATGCCCCGCGCGCTCACGGTCACGACACCCGCCGCGCTGGCCTGCGGCGCAGTGCCCCCTGCACTCCCCCAGGCCCTGCCCTCAGCAGCCACGCCCCGCTGGCACCCCCCGCCTCCCGCAGGAAACGACGTGGCGCATCGTGGCGGGCGGCGAGCGCCCCTCCCCAGACCCCAAGGTCGCGGCGGTGATGTGCGGTGAGCGGGCGGGCGGCCGGGGCTCTGGTGGGCGGCGGGCCTGCAGGGCAGACGTGGGATGCGCAAGGTGCAAGGGCTGCCGGCGAGGGGCAGATGCCGCCGCAGCGTGCCCCACACCTAGCTGCGCCCCGCCTCCCCGGTCCCCTGCAGGCTACATCAACAAGCGCTGGAGGAAGGACGGTGAGCGGGCAGGGGCGGCCAGCGGGGGCCCCGGGCGGGCTGTGCGAGGCGCCCGCTCGCTTGCCTCCCTCTCATCCGCCCCCCCCACCCCACCGCCGCGCCTCCCCCTGCCCCGTTGCAGACCCCGCCCCGATGATGGACTGGCTGGTGCGCTGGCTGAAGAGCAACCTGCGGGACAGCGTGGTTGTGGTGGTGGCGGTGCCGCCCGTCAGGCCGGTGGACATGACCGCCATCAACAAGGCATACAAGGCCATCGCCCGCAAGCACGGCGTGGTGTTTGTGGATATCAGCAAGGGCTACAACCCGCTCAACCCGGCGCACAGCGAGGACGGCACGCACCCGCTGCCGGCGGGGCAGGCGGTGCTGCTCAGGAACCTGAAGCGCGCGCTCAAGCGGTACATGTAGCGCTCGAGCGGTGCACTGACGCGCGCCCCGCGCGCGGCGGCCAGCCCTGGCCAGAACCGAGCTCGGAAACCCCGGCAAGCCGCACCTGCCGCATTCCTTTATTTATCTACTGCTGGTGCGATTACGTGATGACCCTCCCCACAGCATGCACCTGGACAGATCATCCACCCGCGGAGGCATCCCCTCTGAGCCCCCGCCTGTTGGCTACAGGCCACTCCCTGTAAAGATCGCCCCCCTGCGCTGCCGCCGGTGTATTTACAGCAGCAGCGCGTATAGGAGGGCACCAGGAATGGCCCCAGCTACCGCACGGCGCCGCGCTGCCTGCTGACTGCCAGCACCACCGCAGCCGCCGCCAGGAGGAAGAGGGCGTGCCCCGCCCGCAGCCGCGCAGCCCCCTGCGGAGCATCGGGCGGCCACAGCGCGCCGCAGCCGTCAGCCGCGAGAGGCCACGCTCAGCCCCAGGTCAGTGCAGCTGCTGCTGCCTGGCCGCCTCCTGCAGCGCCTTCATCCTCGCCTCGGCGGCCGCCGCCATGCGCGCGCGGCGCACGTCGGCGCCCTCGTGCGCCCGCGGCTTGGCGGACAGGCGGGGCGGGGCGGCCGCCGCGCCGCCACTTGCCTTGCCGGGGCCGGCGCCGCCGCCGACGGGCGCGGGCTTGGCCGTCAGCTTGCCGCTCTGGGCAGCCACCGCCGCGGCCGCCCTGCCAATCTCGTCGTCAGCCGCCTGCCGCGCCGCCTCCTCCGCCGCCGCCTTGCTGACCGCCGCCTCCGCCTGCCGCGCCTCCCTCTGCTTTGCCTTCTGCCGCGCTCGCTTCTCCGCCTTCCTCCTCCTCGCCTCCTCCTCCGCTGCCGCCTCTGCCTCTGCCGCCGTCGCCGCCGCCGCGCCCTGCTCCGCGGCCGCCTGCTGCGCCTGCTGCGCCTGCCGCTGCCGCGCCGCTGCGTCCGCCGCTACCGCTTCCTGCCGCTGCCGCTGCCGCTCCTCCTCGGCTGCCGCCTCTGGCAGCTGGTACAGCGTCACCAGGATGCGAGCCACCCGCTTCGTTTCGCTGAATGTCGGCCGCCGCGTCGTGAAGGGCACTCTCCTGCAGCCGCCGGGTGGAAAGCAGGCCAGGGCAGGGGCAGGGCAGGACATGAGCGCGCAGGGCAGCAACACGTGGCAGACACGGCAGCACGGTGCGCCTGCCCGACCCGCAGCGACCGGCGGCTAGGCGCAGGAGGCCGGCAGGTGCGCCGCCATGCCAGGCCAGGCGCCCGCACCCCCCACCTGACGCGGGCGTCGCCCTTGTCCAGCAGCGGCTGCTCGCCGCCAAACAGCTGCTGCCAGTTGGAGGAAGGGGCGTGCACAAAGATGAGGCCGCACCCCGCCAGCAGCTCCCGCCACCCGCCCAGCGCCTCTGCACCACAGCGGGCGCAGGGGCGGGGCGAGCACGCTGGAGCCCAGACAAAGCGACACCGGGCAGCGCAGCAGGCCCAGAAGCGAGGGGCGAGGCAGCCGGCGCTGCAGCGCACGCTCGGGCAGCGTGCACGCCCCGGCACGGCCGCGCACCCGCCACATCCCTCTGCAGCGCGGCCTCGTTGTAGCGGCGCAGGCGCGAGCCTGCTGACTTGGCGTACTTGCCGCCCGCATCCTTGGCCGACTGCCTGCCGCCCTGGCCGGCCCTGCACCCCGCACACGCATGGCGGCAGCGCCATCGCACAGGTTGGACAGGCTACGGCATCGGGCGGGCTGCCGAGCCATGCGCTAAATTGCACCGCCTGCCACCACCTTTTCCCCTGCCCCTGCCTGGTTCCCTGCCGGCCTCAAACCCGCCAACGGTCACCTCCCCTCCTCCCCCAACTGCCCCGCCACCCTGCCCACCCCACCTGACCACGTAGCGGTGCGCGCTCTTGTGCGCCAGCGTCTCAAACTTGTCGGCCTGCCGCGGGTTGCCCACGCGGGCGGGGTCCAGGCCAAACACCGCCGCCGCAAAGTGGCCGCCCCGCAGCATGACCACCGCCCAGCGGCCGCCGTGCTGGCGCAGGCCGCGCAGCGCCGCCAGGCACTGGTCGGCCGAGGGCTGCGCGCCGGCGACGGCTCGGTCCCTGTCGGGAGCCACCAGCGGGCGCCAGCAGGCGTACCGCTTGCCATCTGCACGCAGGGCGGGCAGGGCTGCCATCAGGCCTGGAGCCGGAACACGGCGGCTCGGTTGCAGGCAGCTGCGTGGGCCCACTCCCAAGCACACCTACCTGCCCCTGCAAAGGCAAACTGGGGCCCGGCTTCCGCGGGCGTCGCCGCCGCCGCCGCCGCCGCCTCCTCGTCCTCCTCCGCCTCGCTCTGCTCCGACTCGCTGCCCGAGATGCTGCCCACCTCCTGCCGCTCATCCTCTACCAGCGCCGCAAACTCCGCCTCACCCACCCGCTCCCGGCCCGCCGCCCGCCGCTTGGCGTTATACCGGTGCCAGTCCAGGGAGAAGTGGCGGCGCTGCTCCTCGGTAGACGCAAAGCCGGGGGCGCCGGCCACGCCGATGCCGCAGGCTATGCAGGTGGGGCCGCCAGGCCTGCTGCCGGTGCCGGCGTCTGCTGCCGCGGCGGCTGGGTCGGCGGGCGGCTCTGCGGTGCCGCTTCCGCTGGCCTCCAGGTCGAGGCCCTGCAGCGCTGCCGCCGTCAGCTCGCTGGCATCGCCGTCGGCCTGGCCAAAGGCTTCCACGGGGAGTTCAAAGAGTGTGCCAAGCGGCTCGGGCACAGCCATCTGGTGTGGAGACGGCTGGAGCTCACACGGTCAGCCAGTGAGCATGTTATGATCCATGCTGGGCTGCAGCGATTGGGGCGGGCTTTGGGCAGCCTCTTCCAAGGCAGCACAGCACAGCAGGGCTGAAAACTTGCCTTGGCTTGACTTGGAGGAGCTATCCCCTGCTTCCAACGCCATCACACAAGGAACAATTTCTGATTACGAAAGTTGCAGAGCCTCTGGTCTGTTGGGTCTCCCTGCCAGCCCCTCTGGGCCAGCGGACGATGCGTCAAGGGCCCCTGGGGTGACGGACATCCCTTCAGAATGGCTGGGAGGCCTGGAAAGGGGTTCTGGGGCCAACTGTTTGGCGCTGGAGCCCCCGCCCATGATCGTTTCAGCCTCCAGGAGCTGCAATACCTGCACGGCGTGCTGCTGAGGACCCCCGTGGTGAACGACGGCAACAGGGACACGGTGGTTGAGGCGCTGCGCTCCATTGCCGAGCTGGTCATATGGTGAGCGGCGGCGCGCCGCCCGCCTCCGCCTGCCCCTGGGCCTGGCACCCAGCTTCTTAGCTTCTTTTTACCCCGCCAGCCAGCCACTCTTTAGGACGGTTTGCTGTGCGGTCCTGCCCGCCTGCTGCAGGGGCGATCAGCACGACAGCAACATGGTGGAGTACTTTTTGACCGAGAACCTGCTGGGCCACTTCAACCAAATCCTGCAGCAGCGCAGCAACCGCCGCGGCAACGTGGCGATGCAGGTGGGGCAGGCGCGCCGCCGGCTGCGCCGCCAGGGCTGTGCCGTCGTGGAATGGGTGCATGCATGCATGCATCGCAGGCGGCAGAGCAGAGCGCTGGTGGCGTAACTATACACTCACTAGACGGTTGCCCCGCCACCCTTGCTCTGCTGCTCGCCGCCGGCGTGCAGGTGCTGCAAACGCTGAGCATCCTGATCCAGAACCTGCGCAACCAGCAGACCGTGTACTACCTGTTCAGCAACAACCACATCAACGAGATTGTGTCCATGCGCTTTGACTTTGAGGATGACGAAGTGCTGGTGGGTGGCCTTGTGTGGTGGTGTGTGTGTGGTGGTGCGGGTGGGCTGCGGCGTGCAGCACCGGTGCCGGCCGCTGGCTGGTGAGCCGCACTCGCCGTGCCGTCGTGGCGGATTGCCAGGGGCGTGTTGGCCCTGCCTCGGCCTTGTTTTCGCTGCCCCCAAACACACCCCCTCCTTGCCACACACCCCACCCGCAGGGCTACTACGTCAACCTGCTCAAGGCCATCAGCCTGAAGCTGAACGAGGTGACGGTGCAGTTCTTCTTCCAGGCGGGGGGGCCGCGCCCGGGGTCCTCGCCCGCCACCCCGCGCCCCGCCTCCTTCCCGCTCTACACCGAATCCATCAAGTTTGTCAACCACAGGTGGGCGGGTGGCAGCCAGCCTGGTGAAGCATGCGGCAGCCAGCCTGGTGGGGCGGGCAGGGCAGGGCAGGCCCCTCCTGCAGCGCCAGGCGGGCTCGCCAGCTCCCCCCTGCCCGCCGACCGCGGCCACCACCACCACCACCCAGCCCGCCCTGCCTCCCCACGCGCCGCGCCCCCGCCCCGTCCCGCCTGCCCGCCGCGGCCGCTGCTGCCCCCCGGCAGGGACCCCATGGTTCGCACCGCCGTGAAGACGCTGACGCTCAACGTGTACGGCATCTCGCTGCCCGCGGTGCAGCAGTTTGTGTGCACCCGTCCCGCCTCCGCCTACTTCACGCAGCTGGCCGCCTACATCGCGGAGCAGTGCCAGGTGGGGCCCGCAGCACGGCACGGCGAGCGCACCTCGTAGGTCGTATCCATGGCAAATCCTGCAGGCTGCAGGGTGGGGGTGCACCAGCATGTTCTGTGGGCTGGCAGGGGCTCTGTGGGCCAGGTGGCATCGCGTGCTCCCAGCCCAAGCCTGCGGGCAAGCTGTCGCGCTCTGACGGCAGCTGCGCGTCGGCTCGCGGCGCCGCTGCGCCCCAGTGCTGGACCCGCTGCTGTCGTCCGTGGATGTGAAGCAACAAGCAGGCGCAGGGCAGCGTGGAGGGGTGCCTGGCTGAGGTGGAGGACCTGCTGTCGTACTGCAACGATGTGCTCATGACGGGTGGGCGGGCCGCGCGGCTGCGCCGGGCTGGGCTGGGCTGGGCTGGGCTGGGGGTCGGGGAGCAGACTGGGGGCCAGCAAGGGCGCTGGTGTTTGTTGTAGGCGGCAGCATGCCTTCCTGCGAGACGAGGCAGCTGAGCCTGGGACCTTTCCTCCTGCAGTGATGCATCCATGGGGCCTGTCAGAGGCCTGCCCGCCCGCCCACCCGCCCGCCTGCCCTGCAGACGTGCCACCGCTGCGGGCGCTGCTGCTGGAGTGCCTGTGGCAGACGTTTCTGGGGCCCGTGCTTTTCTGGCCGCTCATCCAGGAAGATGTGGCGGCGCAGCACATTGCAGCCCTCACGCTGGCCCCAGCTGGCGACGGCGGCGGCGGCGCAGCCACGAGTGTGGCAGCGGCGGCGGCAGTGGCGGCGGCTGGCAGCAGGGGGCCGCCTGACATGTCGTCGGCCCGCTCGGTGCAGCGCGGCAGCGTCGGCCCGCTGTGCAGCCTGTACGTCTTTGAGCGCCTGTTCCGGGCGGTCACAGACCAGCGGCTGCTGGCGCTGCTCGTGTCGGCGCTGCTGGGCGGCGCTGTGGTCGGGGGAGCGAGCGGCGGCTGCGGCAGCCCCAGCGGCACCCGGCCCGGGTCGCCAGGCGGGCAGGCGGCGGCAGCAAACACGGCAGCACGGTGGCAGGTGCCTGCAGAGGTGCTGGGACGGCTGCAGTACAGTCCCGAGGCGTACCGCCAGGCCCTGCTGGGCATGCTGCGCGGCTCCGATGCCCAGGTGGCGGCGGCGGCGGTGCGTGTGCTGGCGGCCCTGCTGCAGAGCAGGGCGGCCAGCGAGGAGCAGCTGGAGCTCATAGGTGAGCAGAGGGGAGGGGGAGGAGGGAGGAGGGGGCACGCCTGTGGCGGCCAGGCGAGCAGTGCTGTTTGATGGTTGCCTGGTGGCAAGCGTGGAGGGCTGCAAGCAGGCGAGCCACAAACCGAGTGGTGCCTGCACCTGTGCCTGGTGCAGGCCTGCTGCCGCTGCGGCGCAGAAAGCAGCGGCAGCTGCTGCAGGTGCTGGTGGGAGACAGCCCGATGAACAGCCAGCTGCTGGAGCCTGTGCCGGCGGCAGCGGCTGGGGAGCCGGCGTGGCAGCAGGGAGACCACAGCGGGCTGGGGCAGGACCCTCAGCAGCAGCAGCAGCAGCAGCAGCCTGAGCCATCAGGAGCGGGGGGAGGCGGCCAGCGGGCCTGCAATGGCGCTGCCAACCCTGGCAGCAGCAGCAGCGGCCCCAACAGCCGGCGCAGCAGCAGCGGTAGTGACAGCTGCCACGTGCGGCTCAGTCTAGACGAGGCGGCGGACGGCTCCTTCTCCATTCGCTTGCACCCTGGCAGCAGGCAGCAGCCAGCCTCCGAGCAGCAGCAGCAGCAGGAGCCATGGCCACAGCTGCAGTCCACCCAGCTGCAGCGGCAGAAGGCGGCGGCGGCGGCGGCTGCGCGCGCGGAGCAGCAATTTGGGGAGGTGGTGGGCGCGCTGCTGGGCCTGCTGTGCTCTGACGTGCTGCCCCCGCTGTCGTTCAGCACCCTGGGCTGGCTGCTCCACCAGCTGCTGTCTGTGGGCAAGGGCGGCGCCGCGCTGAGCGGCCCGCAGCAGCAGGCGCTGGGCGCGGCGGTGGCGCGGCAGCGGGCGGCCATGCAGCGCCAGCTGCGGGGCGGGTGGTGCGACGCGCTGGTTCCCATGGTGGCGGCGGAGTGGGGGCGCACCCGGCAGGCCATCCTGCGCTCCGGCCCCGGCCCCGTGCACGTCGCGGTGCAGACCTGGATGCAGGCAAGCAAGGAAGGCGAGGGGAGTTGGGCAGGGAAGGCCCGCTGCCAACTCCTCCCCTGCCCATGTGTGCGAGCACGCATGCTCGGTGCATGCTAGCACGGGGCCGACGTGCCTGCCCCTCCCGCCCCTCCCGTGCAGGCTGTGCTGGTGCAGGAGCTGCGGTGGCAGCAGGGGTCGGCGGCGGGCGAGGCGGGCGGCCGCGCCGACGCCTCGCCCGCGGCTGCCAAGCAGGCATACCTCACCGTGCAGGCGGCGGTGGCGGTGGCGCAGCTGGCGCAGGTGCTGGGTGAGGGCGACATCCCCGCCACCCCGCCCTGCCCCTCCGTCTGCGAGGCGGATGTTCGGGCGGGGGAGGTGCGGGAGCAAGCGCAGATCGGGCTGGCCTCCAGCCAGCGCATGCACTGCACCGTGTGCTTCACACGCGGCCAGGAGCGGGCGGCGCTGTTTGCGGTGGAGGGCCTGCCCGCGCACGTCAAGGCGGGGGCGGCGCCAGGTGGGCGCGCGACGCGGAGGGCCGCCCAGCGCGCGCGTGTGTTGTTGCGCCCAGCCCTTGCGCTCCCTTCCTGCAGCCGGCCCGCTCCACGCCACCCCACCCCACCCCACCACTCACCCGTCACCACACCCACCCGCCCCACCCCTACTCCACCCCCGCAGACCTGTCGCTGGCGAAGGCGTCGGTGGCGCAGCAGGTGGCGGCGGCGGCGCCCGTGTGCCTGGTGGCAGACCCGGGCGCCAAGCCCGAGACGGGGCTGGTGCTGTCGGTGGCGCCGCTCATGGGCGCGCAGCCGGCGCTGGATGAGCGGCACCCCCGCTGGCTGCACGTCCAGGCAAGCAGAACAGCGGCGGGGCGGCGGGGCCGGCACCCGGCACGGGCGCGGGACAGCGGGCGGGGCCCCATGGCCGGCCCTCGGCTGTGCGCCTCATGCGCGCGCGCATCGTTGCCCTCCTGTGCCTGCAGGTGCGCCCCCCCCTGCGTGGGCTGCTCAAGGTGCTGCAGGCCTCTCACCCCGGCAGCACCCTGCTCAACATGCAGAAGCACCTGGTCAGGTGGGGGGGGCACGACCTGGGCTGCTGTGTGGAGGAAGGGGGCCGGGGCATGTTTGTTGAGAGTCAGGGAATGGTGCGATGGTCTGCCAGCCGTGTGAGCCCCCATGCCTCATACGCGCGTGCCCTTCCACTCTGTCGGCCTCCCCTCCCCCCTCTGCAGCGGTCACTGGGTGCTTTCCTTCCCAGACGGCGACCGCGCCGCGTCTGCGCAGCAGCACGTGGAAGAGTGGGCCCACAAGATGCGGGCCGTCTACTGCCAGCTGCTGCACCCGCTGCTGAGCACCGGGGAGGGCGGCAGCGGGGGAGACGTGCCTGCCGCGCCGCAGGCTGCGATCGAGGCTGCTGCTGGGGACGCCTCGGATTAAGCGCGACGGCCCCTCTGTGCCACCATGACGCAGCTTGTCCTTGCTTGCTGTTTCGCCCTGGTTCTGTTGCTTTGCTTTGCTTGCCCCCGCTCCCTGCATGCATTCCCATTTTGCTCAGCACTTGCATCATTTCATGCCTGCAGCAGTTCCTCATCAGTCGGCGTGCATCCTCTCTGTAACAGCGCAAGCCACCCTGTGCTGATAAACCAGCGGTGTGTATCCTCCACTCATGTGCTCCAGGCTCAGGGCGTAGGTGTGGGGTCTTCAGGGGGTTGGTCGCCGCCAGAGCCGCCCTGGCCACCCACGTCGTTCTCGGCGTTGTTGTTTGGCCCGCTGCCACCTGGCGCATCCTGGTCGCCGTTCCCAAAGCCGTTGTTGCCCTGCGGGCCACCGCCAGAGCTGCCCCCACCGTCGCCCTCAGCGTTCTCTGCGTTGGTGTTTGGCCCGCTGCCACCCGGCGCATCCTGGTCACCGTTGCCAAAGCCATTCTGCGTGGGCAAGGGCGAGGCCGGCAGGTAAAGGAGCAGCATGAGGAAGGCATCCATGGTAGGTGCCCGCTCGCCTTCACCACCTGCCAGCTGCCAGCACTATACTCACGTTGCCCTGCGGGCCACCGCCAGAGCCTCCGTTCTGCATGGAAAAGCAGGGGCAACGGCAGCGGAGATCGAGGGAGGTGTCTCTGCATGGACCTGCCCACTTGCTCCCCACCCCTCCAGCAGCACACTCACGTTGCCCTGGCCACCATTGCAGCCGCCTCCATTCTCTGCGTTGTTGTTTGGCCCACTGTTGCCTGGTGCATCCTGGTCGCCGTTGCCACAGCCATTCTGCATGAGCAAAACATTCCCAAGCCTGGTGTTCCCAAGCAACCACGGTGCCCATTCGCCTCCTTGTCATGCCACAGCATGCTCACATTGCCACCATTGCCATTGGCCCCGTTGCCGTTTGCCCCGTTGCCGTTGCCGTCGCCCCCGTTGCCGTCGCCCCCGTTGCCGTTGCCGCCATTGCCGTTGCCCCCATTGCCGTTGCTGCCGTTGCCATTGCCTCCATTCTGCAGCTCAGCGATCAAAGGCAGGCGCAGCAAGATGGTGAGGTGAGGAGCACAGGGCTGGCATGACACAAACATGCTCACATTGCCGTTGCCTCCATTGCCGTTGCCCCCGTTGCCGTCGCCGCCACTGCCGTTGCCCCCATTGCCGTTGCCGCCATTGCCGCCGTTGCCGTTGCCCCCGTTGCCATTGCCCCCGTTCTGCAGCTCAGCGATCAAAAGCAGGCTCAGCGAGATGGTGAGGAGCAGGCAGCACAGCAATGGGTGGCATCCTCACATTGCCATTGCCTCCATTTCCGTTGCTGCCACTGCCGTTGCCGCCACTGCCGTTGCCGCCACTGCCGTTGCCCCCATTGCCGTTGCCTCCATTTCCGTTGCCGCCACTGCCGTTGCCGCCACTGCCGTTGCCGCCATTGCCGTTGCCCCCATTGCCGTTGCCGCCATTGCCGTTGCCCCCGTTGCCGTTGCCGCCATTGCCACTGCCGCCATTGCCGTTGCCGCCATTGCCGTTGCCGCCGCCATTAGAGCCGCCACCATTGCCGTCAGAACCTCCAGTCTGCATGATCAAGAGCGGCAGAGAGTGGCATCACGAATGCACACATCACTAATGCATGATGTGAGCAGTAGACTGACGCATGATGTGGGCATCTGAAGACTGACGTTGCAGTTGCAGTTGCAGTTGACGGTGACTGGCACAGAGGGGATGGTGGGCACTGGCGGGAGGTCAGGCAGGTCCGAGGGGGTGCCATCGCCGCCGCCCCCAGCACCATCGCCCCCGCCATTCCCTCCAGGAGACCCTCCACCGCCATTGGAGCCCTGGAAACGCAACGTGGCAGGCAAGGTAATGGCTTGAGTGAGCATTCAAGGTGAGCGAGCATGCAGGCGGCTGCTGGTCAAGGTGAGGGAGAAGAGCGGCTGTGCCAGGCGCCGACAGCTAGCAGACCTGGCCGCCGCCATGGAGGGAGTTGAGGAACGCTAGGCGGGCCTCTCTGTAGGCTTCGATCTGGGCCTCAAGGCGGTCGTGCCGGGCCTGCAGCTGCTCATGCACCCACTCAGCCGTCGCCTGCACAGGCAGCCCAGCCGAAGGTGGGCCAGCGGCAGTCAACCTTCAGCCGTCATTTCCAGGCATTCAAGGAGGGCTTGAACTCTAAAGCAGGGGACCCATTCCTGGTTTCCGTGTTAGCAGGCCTTTCTGAGAGTCAGCATCACTCTTGAAAGCAGCATCGACCCCGAACGAATTGCCTCGCCACAGCCGCTCAACAGCGCTGCCCAGCGGTAAGGACGTCGGCGGCGGGTGGTCAACAAGCGGCCTCAGACGAGGGTTTCGCGCACCTGTCCCCTGCCCAGGGCATCATCAGCCAGCAGAGAGCGGATTTCCGCGCGGGGGCCAGCCGAAAGCCCCGAGGATGAGCCATGGGGCTGGCCACTGGTCAGAACTGCGCTGCCCACCAGCAGCAGAGCGAGGAGGGCGTGAAGCCGCATGTTCGAGACGCTCCAGAGACAACAGCAGAGACGAGGAGACGGAGGGTCATCCCCCTTGACGGAGGGTCGTCCCCCTTGTTGTCCTTGCGGCGGGACCGTCGCTGCTGCCGGCGCTCCATCTCTCAAGTATGTGCTGCTGCTCATCAGGATGGCAGGCCGAGCATCCATCTCTCACAATTCACAGTTGCACGCTGACCACCATGCATGAGTCAAACGAGATTCGCTGCCAGCAGCGCCGCTACCGCACCAACGCCTGCTCGGCTGGGGCGGGCTCGTCAGGGCGACGCGTCGCCGGCGGCGCCCCCCTCTGCCGCCTCCGCCTCCAGCTGCTCCGCCACAAAGGCTGGCCCCAGCGACTGCACCGTCACCTCGCCCCCCGTGGCCTCTGCAATCTCGTGCACGCTCTGCACCTGCTTGATCTTGCGCCCCGCCTTCTTGCTGACGAACGGGCGCATGAAGGCCAGCACGGTGCGCAGGAAGGCTGCAGGCAGGCGGGCAGGCAGGCAGGCAGGCAGGGGTCCGGGGATGCGCTCAGCCCAAGCGCAGACCATCTCCTTCCACGCTTGCACCACACGCAGCCGCGGCGCGCTGCCACCCAGGCCCGAGCCCAAGCCCATGCACACACTGGTGGCCGGCCGCCTCCACCCCTCGCCCAGGCAGGCAGGCAGGCAGGCGGCGAGCGCTGCGGCACGCACCCGAGGGCCGCACCAGCACGATGTACTGCACGTGCTTGCGGAAGGGGCGGGGCAGGGTGCGGTACGCTCCCATGATCCACATGCTGGGCAGCCTGGCCGCGCCGCGCGACGTGAACACCAGCACATAGTCGCCCTGCGTGGCGGGTGGGGGCCGGGGTGGGTGTGAGGTGGCGGGGCGCGAGGCATGCATGCGGGGAGTGGAACAGGCAGGACGGCACGGTGGCAGGCAGGACGAGGGGCGGCACGCACACGCGCACACCGCCACACACACGCCGCCGCCAGCACTGCCACCGCCGCCGCCGCCGCCGCCACGCGCGCCGGCAGCCCACCTGGTTGACCAGCGGCTCCAGGTGCGCCTTGACGTAGATCAGCGCGCTGCTCTTCATGTTGGCGGGCACCGCGTCTGCAGGGGGGAGCAGGGGAGCGGGGGGCGGGGTGAGGGAGCAGCCAGACGGGTGGGTAGGCTGGGCGTGGGCATTAGGCAGACGGCTGGGGAGGCTGGGCGCGGGCATGGGTAGGTGCGGGGCGAGGGGCGAGGGTGGGGGAGCGGGGCGTGACAGGGAGGCAGCGCCTGGGTGGCAAGCAAAGGCAGCAGCGCAGCACCGCGCGACGGCGACGGCCCCTCCCTCCCTCTTCACACCTGCGTTGAGCACCACCACCGGCCGCCCCAGGGCATCCACGCCATCCATGTACAGCAGGCCTGCAGCGGCGGCAGGGCCCCAGGTGCGCCAGCTCAGTGATCAGAGATAGTGCGCCGCCCCGCCAGCCAGGCGGGTGGCGCCTGGGCAGCGCCCAGCTTCCTGCCGCCGCAGGCACGCCGCGTGGCGCGCGAGCAGGGCGCAGGCTGCTGTGCACCAGGCTCCGGGCCTCCCCCCCCCTCTCACCCTTGAACGTCTGGTACCAAGACTGAGGGAAGAGCAGGCCCGGCTGGGGCGGCGCCTCGCTGGCAGCCGCCGCCGCCGCGCTGCTGCCCGAGGCGTTGATAGCGGCCAGCGCCGCCGCCGCGTCAGCCGTGCCCTTGTCGCCGCCACCGCCGGCGATGGACAGGGGCTGCATGCCGGCAGGCGCCGTGGGGGCGGCCGCTGCCCCCGCCTGCTGCTGCTGCTGCTGCTGCTGCTGCTGCTGCTGCTGCTGGTCGAGGGGGGGCGGCTGCGCCGCGTCCCGCTGGGCGCCGGTGGCTGAGTCAGCAGCATAGACCGTGATGTCGTCCTCGCTGGCGGATGCGGTCAGCTGCTGCATGAAGCGGGAGTGGTAGGTGGAGGGGCTGCGCGGCACAGCCGCGGACGTCTCCGCGCCAGCAGCAGCGGCAGAAGCAGCAGCAGCGGAGGCAGCGGCCGCGGCCGCCGTGCCGTTGGCGGCAGGCAAGCTGGCGCTGCCCTGATGAGCCTGTGGCGCGCCCGGCGCTGGCGCGGGGGGTGCATCGGCCGCCGCCCCGGTAGAGGCACCTGCTGCCGCCTCCGCCTCTGCCGCCACCGCTGCCGCCTTGGCGCCTGCAGGCAGCTCGGGGTCTGCTGGAGAGTGGAGCACAGCTGCCGCCGCCTCCTCGTCGCCGCCCGCTGCACCCTGCGCCTGTGCCTCTGCGGCAGGCAGCACAGCAGCCGCCTCCTGCTTCCCACCCTGCTCGGCTGGCACTGGCTGCGCTGGCTCTGCAGCCACCTCGGCCATGGCCGGTTCTGGCGCCGCCTCCGAGGCGTCTGCCGCGCTGCCCGCGCCGCCGCCGCCGCCAGCGGCCTGCCAGTTGTCTTCTGAGGGCGCGATGGAGGAGTGCGCGGCTCCCGACACGCTCACGCTGTCGCTGCCATCCATGGCCAGGCCGTCGGGCAGGCCGGCGCTGCCGCCCGCGACGCCGGCCACGCTGCTGCCGCCGCCGCCGCCGCCGGCGTCGTGCGTGGCGCTGCGGATGGCGGCGGCCGCCTGCCGCGGGCTCAGCTCCCCCGCCACGGCCTGGTCTGCCAGCTGGTCCACCACCTCTGCCAGGCTGCCGCCCGCAGAGAGACCTGTGAAGGCGCTGTCCACGTTGCTACCCTCTGCGTGCAGCTGCACGCCCGGCAGGTGCGCCTGCACCTGAGGCAGCGGCAGCGGCGCCGGCGGCACCCGGATCAGCAGCAGGCTGGTGCGTGGGTGCAGGCATTCTCAGCAGGCAGATCATAAAAAAAACAGGGCAGGCAGATGCAGCTACATCGGTCGCTGCCGGCACCACCCGTCGCCCGCCGCCACCCGCCCCACCTGCGTCAGGGTTGCCATCTCCGGCTCGCCCGCGCTGCCATCGTGCTCGTCGTCATCGATGCGTTCCTCTCCCTCTGCACACACGGGAGAGTCGCAGGAGGGCGGCAGTGAGACTGATCTGGGCGGAGGACCAAAAACTTGTGCACCACCGCCCACCTTCGGTGGCATCCAGCGCCCCTGGCTCCTCGTAGATGCTCTTGTCGTCGCGTGTGGCGGCGCTGGACGCGATGCTGCGGGTGTCGTGAGGCTGCTGCCCCACACGCCGCCCCACGCCGCCCCAGTGCAGGTGGTCGTGCCCGCTGGTCAGTTCATAGGCCTGGGGATCGTGGAACTGCTCAGGCTGCCGGCTGGAGCCCGCAGGGTCCTCTGATGCCCCCACCGAGCTGATCCGCGGCGAGGCAACGCTGGGGATGTCCGTGGGGGCGTCCTCCGCCTGCTCCTGGTTCTCCTTGTTGTTGTCCATCGGGCTGGCTGGCAATGCAGGGCCGGGCAGCGCCGCCTGGCTAGGTGATGAGGGTGCGCCGCCGCCTGCCTGGCGTCCCGCCCGCAGCATGCTGGCACCATGCACATCGTCCGTTTCCGAGGCACACAACATCTGCACAGCCAAAGCTGCCGCTGCCCCTGCACCTGCCATGCCTGGCAGCCATAGCAGATGCCGAAACCTGCGGGGGCGTCGTTACAATTCTGCTCCTACGATAGGTCAGCTAAGCAGAGCTGCGTCCCGGCTGCATCTACTTCTTCTTGGCCTTGCCCTTCTTGCCGCCCGCTGCAGCCTTGGCCTGCGCGGCCTCCTTGGCCGCCTGCAGCTTCAGCACCTGCAACCAAGAGGCAGGCAGGCGGAGCAGGTGCGACGCCACATGAGTGCCAGGGACTCGGCAGCTCAAATGCGATGTCGGTTCCAGCTTCATGCTGCTGCGACGGCTCAGCTGTTGTCGCCGCTGCAAGCTGCATGCATACACGTCTGGCTGACCCATCATGCTTTGGCACATGAATTTCCAGGCCGCCTTGCAAGTGCGGTTGCTAACAATGCTGCTGATTGTTGCTGGTTGCCAAGCAGGCAGCTGCTTCCTGCCAGTCATCTGGCTGCTGGCTCATGAAAGCTGCGTGATGGCAGCATCGCTTTGCACAGCGGCTGCGCATGCCAGCAAAGACTGCACTGCCGGCCCGCCGCGTCAGGCTCTCCAAAGCGGCCATGTGCGCGCAGCCAGAGCTGCGCTGATTCCCGTCTGCGCTGCAACACTATTTGCAGACTGCCTCAGCTGCAGCTGTCTGGAGAGGCTGCGGCACACCAGTGAGTGCATCCCGAGACAGCTGCAGTGCTGCTGAGTTCAGCCATGCTTGGCCGCGGGGGCGTCCCTGCCAGCTCCACCGACAGCATGTCGAGATGCCAATCCTACCGCAACTGCAACCGCTGATGCGACTGCTACGGCCGCTGCATCTTGATCGAGCTGCTGCAGCCCCCAACTGGACATGGAGTGCCGCAGCGCGGGGCTGCATCCCAGCTGCGACTGCCAAATGCTTGCTGCAAACGCTCCGTGCTGCCCCAGCTGCTGCACACTGCGGCGAGGGCTGCATCCCTGCCCTGCACTCCCACACCCTGCTGGTTCCACCTCCCTCCCATGCCCCTCACCTTCTTCACAATCTTCTGCTCCTCCACCAGGAAGGCGCGCACGATGCGGTCCTTGACCACGCCCGCCGCCAGGTGGCCGCCATAGGCGCGGTGCACCGTCTTCTTGCTCTTGTTCGTGCGGTGCAGGCTGCCGGGCCGCACAGCGGGCAGCTGCAGGTGGCGGGGGCGAGCGCAGCGCGGCAAAAGGTCAGCAAAGCCAGGCCGCGGAGCGGGCGGCCGGCGACGCTGGCGGGAACGCGCCGCGTGCCCCGAGCGCCTGCGCCCCGTCCCCCCGTGCCGTCCACTGCTGCCTGGGTCGCCTGTGCATGGTTTGACAGCGCAGTGTGCTCACCCCGTGCAGCCGCTGGCCGGAGATGGGGCAGGTGGGGTGCGTGGTCTTCTTCTTGACGGTCTGCAGCGTCAGCTTGCCACCTGCAGGGACGAAAGGGAAGCGGTGGTGCCGATAGGAGCCAGGATGAGGGCAGGATGGGGCTGGCATGCCCGCCTGCATGACGGGCCCTCTGAACGGCCTGGCCCTCCCCTGCATCCCTGCCGCGCCCCATGCCCCACCACACGCACCAGGAGTGCGCAGCACCCGCTGCTTGTTGCTCTTGGTGGCATACGAGTGCCGGCGGCGGTAGGTGAGGCGCTGCACCATTTTGGCTGGGCTGTCCTCCTCCTCGCCTCGATGAAAGAGGCAGGAGAGGGCGGGGAGCCCAGTTTTGGCGCTGCTGGAAAGTCCCCGGTTCTTCAGGCGCGTAGGCGGCATCACGGCCTCCCTGCGCCCATCCATTGCGCCCCAGCACTGATGCAGCCCTTTCTGTGGCGTGTGTGCAGAGCCGCGCCCATTTCAGCCCACTGTTTGCGGGCTGCCACCTCCCGTTGGGGTTGGTGGCAGGGCTGGGTACTTGAGCGGCGGGGATGAATTGCGGTCGCCACTGCAACGGTTGCCAGCCAGGGCCTGCCGATCCCGCAGCAGCATAGGCGGCAGCGGCCACCGGCACCGCGGTTTTGGTTGCGCAATGAACTGGCTGTCCGATAAGCCGGCTTGCTGGGCAAGCATACTTTCCTAGTAAAGCGCCAATGGGTAGCCCACCCTGCCCTGGAGCAAGTTTGTGACAAACGTGGATGCTCCCATCTTTCCGGCACGGTTGGCTCGCCCCACCCGCCCAGCAGACCAATACTTGAGGATTCCCTATAATTCTTTGACAAGTTGGTGTGCATGGGGATCGTGGTAGGATGTAGGTAGTGCTTACGAAGCACAGCCCAGGGTCGGCCTCCCTCCAGCGCTCCACCGGCCGCGGTCTGGGGCCGCTCCAGGCGCGTTTGGGGCGCCGTATGCCCCTCTGACCGGCCGGCTTGCTGTTCAATCGCTGTGATCAGGTTTCCGGCGGGAGGGAGTCGGTGGTGCGACTCTCACATAAACTTGCCTCCCGCCGAGAAGAAGGCGCGCCTCCTCAGTCTCGAGCGTCTCCTCGCTCCCTTCGCTTTCGCACAACACCTGCTGAACCGTGAACACGCTGCTTGGACATCCAGAGGCCTGCTCACGCGAGCCCCTCTCAAAATCAACCACAGGCGCGCAGTTGGGGGCCGCCCGGGCCCCTCCCCTGGCCGTAGTGCTTCCTGCTGCTGCCGGGCAGCGCGGCAGGGCCTCCAGGCGCGTCGCTGGGCTTGTTAACGGGAGACAACCTACCCGTGCCCCGCGCACCCCCTGCCCCTGCAGGCCCCGATCCCTGCACGCCACATGGCCGGCCTTCTACTCGGGGGTTGCGTGGCCCTGCGCCAGGGCGGGCTCACAGGCCTGCCCTCATCGCTGAAAGGCGCCGTGGCGCACGAGCACCTGGAGCGCACAGCCTCCTGCTTTGTGGTGGCGGCCGCTTGCGACGGCCTGGCCACCGTAGCGGAGCTGGCCCCCTGCAGCAGCGCCACAGGCGGCGGTGCCCTGGGCACCGTGCTAGCTGTAAGCAACCCGCCGCGTACATACAACCACACGCGGCGCATCACCGTGCCCACCTACTGCCTGGCTGGCACTCAGACGCGGCGGCGCGGGCGGCGCGGCAGCGGAGGCGACGATGAGGAGCTGTTTGGGGGAGGAGGCGACGATGGCTGGGGCGGCGACGGCGGCTTTTGGGACGGGGGTGACAGTGGCGACGAGGACGGCGGCGACGGCAGCCTGGCGGCGCGCCTGCAAGACCTGCTGCTGCTCTGGAGCTTCTTCTGCGCGCTGGCCTTCTGCCAGACTCTCTACCATGTCAGCCCCAAGCCGAAGGCGGGCCTGGTGGGCCCCGCTTTTGCCGCCCTCAGCTACAGCGGCATCAAGCGCCACTTGCTGCAGCACCAAGGCCGCAGCCAGTAAGCGCAGGCGTGACGGGCAGCCCAGCCAGCGCTGCTGCCGCTGCATGGTCACATGCCCGCCCGCGGTCTTCACTCTGCCCCTCCTTTCCCGGCGCTTTAAGCACGTCTGTTCGTCGTTGTTCCCCACCCTTGCACACGCACAACCCTTCAGGTCTGTTCTCTCTCCTCGTTGACTTTGTTGATGCCGCCGATCCCTAAGACCCTGTATGTACCCCTCCCGGCTCCCGTTTTGTGCCCACCGTAGCTTGCATTCTTTCCCAAAAGGCCTTGCCACACAACACAGGCTCCGCTTGACCCGAGAAAACAAACGAACCTGTTTTACTGTACCCTCAATTTTGCCACACCCCGTGCTGCCTCCCCTTGCCATGCGTTTGTGCCCCATCGCCGCGGCCCGCGCCGCCCCGTGTACCATCACAAACCCGGCCCCGAACTGTTGTTCTTGTTGGCATCCGCTGTACACCACCCCATCATGAGGCAGCCTCTCCGTGCTTTGTCCCTCTCCTCTTTGCACTGCAACTCGTGCTTGCTCCTGTACGCCTCCCCATTTTGCTCCCGCCGTTGCTGCGGTCGATTCGGGCGGCCACTGTTCCGCCCGCCCCTTGTGCACACTCCCATCATTGCAACTCCAGAGCAGGACTCAGGCACGTTTCACACAGAATGTCAGCCAAGTGATTCAGGACGGGGAATGCAGCTCGGTGGTTATGTCTGCAGCACTGGATGAGCCTGCGCTGAGCAAGAGGCGGTACACGCTGCAGGGCGGGGCACCGCTGCCATGGGTCTTTGTTGAGCCCCCAGCTGCGCTCGACACCGTCGCTTCTGACTTCACATCTCAGCTCCAGCCTTGCTCCCGTGTTGGCAGCCGCGCCTGCGCCCTTCCGGCGACCGGCACCAATCAGGCGCAGTGCGACGCCTTTGCACCCACTATGTGCAACGGACTGCGTGGCTGAGTGTCCCATGCTGACGGCGGGGGATCTCGTGGCGGCAGGCTGCAGCGCACGACCGCCGGGCAGCGGCCCGCAGGCGGCGGGCGTGCTGGGCGGCGGAGCAGCGCCGTCGCAGGGCTGCCCGCCGCATGAGGCAATACGAGAGGTGCCCCTCACGCGCCTGACAGTGGGCATGTGGACAAGCCGGCGCCACCGAGCCTGCCAGCTGCTGCTGCTGGAGCAGGAGAGCCTGCTGGTGGTGCTGGTGCGTCGCGCCGCCGCCGCCACCGCCCCTGCATGCCCCGAGCTGCCAGCCGCCGGGCCTGCACCTCCGCGCGGTCCAGCCCTCTGGTGCTTGCTGCAGGTCGACCGCCGAGCCGCGGTGGTGCGCAGCCCGTCCCGCTTCCTGGAGGGCCTGACTGCGGCCAGCCCCTTTGCCAGCGCCGCCTACAGCCAGGCGGGGTGCGTGCACGCCTTTGAGGTGCCCTTTGCCAGCATCAGGGGCCTGGACTACAACAACCCGCTGTGCCTGGAGGCGCGCCTGGTGCTGGAGACCAGCGGCCTGCGCAAGCGGGAGTTCCCCACGGTGAGCGGCGGCGACACCACAGGGGCACACGCACACACACACAGGAGGGGGCTGGAGGGGCCATGGTTGCTGGCGCTGGCGGCGCCCCTCCACCCCCGCTGCCAGCCCCCGCTCCTGGTGCTGCACTTGTCCGACGCTGTGCGTGCTGTGCGCTATGCATGCTGTGCAGATGGAGGCTGCCCGGGCGTACTTCCTGCAGCCTGCCGCCCGCGCCCAGCGCTCCCCCGGCGCCACCGCCCCGGCCAGCACTGCGGGCGGCGCCAAGCCGCCAGCAGGCCAGCTGCATGCGGCGCTGCAGTCTCAGGCGCCCGCTGTCAGCGGCGCGGCGACCGCCGGCACCGCCGATGGCGTGCAGTGCCGCTGTCAGCAGGAGGCCGGTGAGGGCAGCCGCAATGGCAGGAGCAGCGCCAGGGGCAGCCTGGCGCTGAGACTGGACGGTGCGGATGCTGCCGGCGGCGTTCGTGCTGCCAGCACACAGCCGCCTCCTGCGCCCCGCCAGCAAGCAGGCTGCGGCAGCGACTTGGTACCACTAGACGCGGTGGCAGCAGCAGCCGTGGCAGCAGCCGTGGCAGCACCAGCCAGGCCGGGGCCGCCTCTGCCGCCTCCTGCGCTGGTGGTTGCGCCGCCCGCCGACACGCTGCCGCTTCGGGACAGCCTGGACGACAACGACGACGACTTTGAGAGCGAGTTTGGGAGCCTGTGGTACTGGGGCAGCCCCGCACGCAGCTCGCCGCCCACCCCGCCCCGTGCCGCCGCCCAGGCAGAGCGCGGCGTGGCGGCTGCAGCCTGCAGCAGCGGCGGGGCGGGCGGCGCCAGCCCGGAGGAGCCGGCTGTGCTGGTGGGCAGCGCGCCCAGCTCCAGCGCCTTTGCAGGTGAGGGGCGCGCGGCTCGGGGCGGCATGCCGCGTTGGCAGCAAGCAGAGCTGCACAAAGACTCCCGCCCTCCCCACCCAAACCAGCACATGCCCGCCCCACAGCCGCGCACATGGCTTGCCTGCCTGCCTGCCTGCCTGCCTGCCTGCCTGCCTGCCTGCTCACCTGCCCGCCCGCCCGCCTGCCTGCCCGCAGGCTTCATGTCGCCGTCGCTGTCCTCGCCGCCGCAGCTGGCCGACCGCGCGCGGGCAGAGGCGGGCAGCAAGCCGCCGCGGCCGCCGCCCGCGCCCAGCCTGCAGCGCGCCGCGTCCGACGGCCTCCTGCTGGGCTCCCTGGGCGGAGGCATCCTCCTGCAGCACCAGCAGCACCAGCAGCGCCAGGCGGCGGTGCGGCAGGGGGAGGTGGAGGCGGAGGGGTGGCCGTCGGCTCACCACTTCACCACCGTCAGCCGCGCCTACTCGTACCGCACAGTGTGCCTGCACTGGACCGACCCGCGCCTGCCGGGCATGCTGCGCCCCATCATCCAGGCGCGCCCGCGGGGAGGGTTGCGTCCCCGGCCCGCCACAGTGCCGGCCTGCCCCGGTCCTCGCCCTGGCGCCCATGCCTCCTGCCCGCTGCCCCCCACCCAGCCGCTGCAGGGCAACGAGCAGCTGCTGAAGCTGTACGAGAGCGGCCTGCCGGCCTGGGCCGTCTACGCCCCGCAGGTGCGCTGGTGTGTGTGTGTGTGTGTGTGTGTGTGTGTGTGCGCGATGCCTGCGCGGCGGCGGCAGCGGCCACCCCGCCCCTCGAGCCCGCATCCCCACATCTGCCTGCCGCGGCGCCGCCCACCCTCCCTCCTCCGCACTGCAGTACGGCCTCTTCTACCGCCCCTGGCTGCGCAGCGCCACCTGGGTGCTCTTCTACGCCTTCTCGGGTGCGCGGCGCTGGCCTGGCTGCGGCGCCAGCCGCGCCGGCCCCGCCTCAGCCCCACGCCGCGCCGAGCTGCCGGCGCCTGCGGGTGTCCCCTGTTCTCCCCCCTCTCCTTCCCTGACCTCCCCCTCGCCCCCCTGCAGTCTTCTCCTTTGTGATGGGCTTCTACGATTTGTACAAGTGTGTGCCGGGGCTGCAGGTGAGAGCGCCGTGCCGCGCCCCCATGCTGCGCCCGCTGCGCCGAAACGCAGCACTGGCAGCTCTTGCCGCCACCCAGGGAGGGGCACCCGCTGGGCAGCCGCCGACCCGCTGCCTCCTCCCGCTGCCTGCACACCCCGTCGCAGGTTGTGATGCAGCGGCTGATGTCCAGCGTGTGGCTGCCGCCCGCCGCGGTGCTGGAGTGGCTGGAGCAGCACACGCAGATCAGGTGG